ATTGGTCGCTTCTGTTTGGGGCTTAAGTGAGTAACAGCGACTAGAAGCGTTGGAAGAAGAAAGAAAAAGTGAGCGCAATCGAGTACCGCTTTCGCTTGTGGCCCGTTTTCTCGCTCTCCTGAGAGGGCGAGGGCGATGGCGAGGGCGAGGAGTCGCCCTTGGCCTTTGATGAGGTTGGTGTTGATGGCAGCTCGTCCTTCTTCTCCATGGGCGGTTCATCCTCACGTGGACTAGCAGGAACCGCAGACACACAACACGGGGATTAGCCAAAGGCGACGGAAACGACCAGTCAAACGACAGTCCGCACCTCTTGGTGAGGGTAGCTATCTCCTCGGGCGTAATCGTGAGTGGCATGCGAACCATTGATGGCGTGTAGACGGGCACAAACCTGCCCGAAGTAGGACTTGCGATCAGCAGACAGCTTCGTTTGGCAGGAGGAATGTGAACGTACCCACGAAACGGCGTGAGGGTGTGTAAGGCGTTGTCGGACGGCGCGTGGTCGCCCTCAGCTGGTGGTGGAGATATGAGTTGGAGTTCCGGAAAAGTGTAAAATAAGAAAAGTAATAAAAAGTACAACAGTCCCATATTTTTTCGGTTCAGATAATAGCTTTTATTTGTCATATTGAATTAATTGAGAATTTATCCTTCAAGCAAATCTTTGTTGCGATGTTCCAAATTCGCGGATGGAATAAATGATCGTAGATCCGAAAGGATGCGCATAAAAAGATCGACAATTTTGTCAAAGGCGAACGCAAGAGCTGCTGGAAAAAATTAAAAAATAATGGTGATAATAGGTGAAAATATACTATGATATAAAAGCTGCAAATGGTGCGGTACCGAAAGGTGGCGATTCGCTGGTGGTGTTGTCAGTCGCTTGCATAGTTCTATGCACATCCATCGTGTAGCCCTCCATGGTGGTGTAAAATACAGATTCTTCGTTGGTTGTAGGAATCAGGTGACCCTCGATCAGATCAGCTTCTTCTGCCGTAGAGACCGACAGTTCTTTCTCCTTCGATTCCTCCTACTTGTTCCTCACGAGTGGGATTCGGTCGCGCGTGGAATAATTAAAT